GATTCGTCTGCTTCATGAGAGTCGATAATGACAGGTAACGAAAAAGATACTGACGAATTTATAGGATTTCAAAATGCTCACTGAACATATACATATATTCTTGCAAAAATATGCTAAAAGGGTTAACGCCATATTAACATACGAGAATCTTGATTATGCCCTCTAGCTGAACTACTCTGACAATGTTAACCATTTTGCTAGTTTCTTATCTCGAAATGCGAACATCTATTTATCATATTTACATGTTTGTCTCAACTGAAACATGCAAGCTGTGAACTTTGTGAGAAAAAAAAGAGGCAAAGAAGCATATACAACTATGCAAGATAAAGAAGAATTGGAATAAGGAATGCAACCGATCAGTTTCATGTACAAACTACTGAATGATATTTCCACTTGATATCTCACGTAAACATTTCAACGTGAGAGTAAGCACGTGAAATACTGAACTCACGTGGAATGCCAAATATCAGTGTTTGAAATTTAAATTATGAGAGAAAAAATGGAAACGTATCGAATTGTATTTACTCACATTCCTTTAAAGAACAAAATCTTTTGTAGTGAAAAAAAATTCAAAGAAATCTCTAATTCGGTTTACGTCAGAATTTTTTTAAACACGACGAATTATTAATGGAAATTAGGCAAAAAAAATTAGTAAAGTTTTAGAGAAAATAGTATGACAGATAAGGACATACAGACAGACAGACAGAGCGAGAAAGAGATGAGGAAGAAAGCTAGAAGGGAAAACTCTTTAGGCGAACAAGGAAGGTGAAGAGAAAAGAAATTTTTATTGTGGAAAGCACATTGTGTGTCTGCAAGAGAGAATTCGCTTGTTTTGGCGAGTTAAAAGCTTGTAAGGAGTGCTTTAGGTAGTAGAATCTTCAGTATTGATGCTCAAGCTTAAAAGGATTTTGATAACAAAAAAAAAGAGATTTTTGATTAAGAAGCAATGAGAGTGATGTGGATGTTTGAGATGACATGACGAGATAGGAGAGCCAATATCCGTGTGCAACTATAAGAGAAAGAGAGAGAAAGAGTAATCGAGAATGCCAGAAAGTCATTTGAATGTTACATTCTTTTATCAAATTTAATTTATTTTCAGTATTATGATGGCAATAATGATAAATACAACCAGTTGGTTGTTAGAAAAAAAGCTTTGAAATTCAATTGAAATAGTCATGCAAATGTGACATGTGAGACGTAAAGACGACGTTTTGAATTATTAATGATCTTTGATATGGAGAAACATTTGAAAAAATGAAATCATAAATGTTCCTAGTTGCAAAAGGTAAGAGAATATGAGCCAGATGAGATAACATATGTAAGAAGTAATGTCTGTATATAAGTTTGTTATAATGAGTTATAGACAATGACATTCTCGTGCTAATCAGTGATAAAACGGATAAAAAGAACAGAGCAATGGTGTAGGAGAGAAAGGAAGTTGAGTTAAAAAGAATCTGGAAGCATGCCAAGAGAACAGAATGAAGTTAACAAAATATTCAAAGAGAACACATTACGTACTTGACAGCAAAGAGGAGCAAAAGAGGGAAAATAATAGGAAAATACTTTCAAAAATAAGCGAAATCACAACAAAAACAAAATATTTGTTGCTAAGATGACCTCATAAAGGCTGTGATTAAGCTCATTTCATCGTTGTTCTACGAAGAAGACATTCTGAAAATCGGGTATTTCGACGGGTGAGAAAAGCAGCAAAAAAATATTTTTTTCATTCACTTCCTCAATTGCTCTAACTCAAATTGCTTGAAGCTCATGACATGTTTCTTTGGAAAGAATTTTATGTTTCATACACGCTTTGTTCTTTCATCAGTCATTTCGTGTCTTTTCTTATCTACGTCTTAGCCAGGAACAGCCGAAGCATCTTCTATGTCCAATTCGGCCTAAATACAGCGGTTATTGGCTGTTTTGGCTTTTGCAGAATTACAAATCCCCGCTAGGAGAGGTTGGATAAGGGAGATGAAAAAATGGAGAACGAAAGAGACAGAGACGACTTGCGAGGAAGGAGGAGAGAGACTGAGGGTGAAGGAAGAATGTGGCAAAAAAGCAAAACAGAGTGCGAGTGAAAAAAAAAGAGAAAAAAAACGCAAAAAAAAACTGGCAGGGGAGGAAAGGAAGAGAGGGGAAGAGATGGTTTTCCAAACAAAAAAAAACTGCAAGCTAGGACTGCTCTGCTATTGCTTTACGTTGGCTGACGGCTTGTCGAGCAATTGATGAAAGCTCTTAACTGACCATGATTTGACATGATTAAGATGGCTTTGGGAACAAAATAAAAAAGAAAAATTATCTTTTAAGCTTCAAAAGAAGGAAGAGAAGGAAGAAGCAGTTGAAAAAAAATAAATGTTGCTGAATAGATGAAACTCAGTCAAGTGAAAACAATCAAATGGAACAGGCAATTGAGTATTTGAAAAATGATCTGAATAATCGGAGAAGCTGACTTGACCTCGTCACTAAATCTGAGAAAAAAAACACAAGAGAGAAATCAAAGAATGTGAGCTTCCATAAGAAGATAGGAAAGCATTCAGATTTGAAATAGTAAGAGAAGCTGAGAGAGAATCAGAAAATACCGGGTAAACTGTTTTACTTGAAGGATTTAACGGAGAAGCAGATGAGAAACAAATAAAGAACCAGATGAAGTAGACGGAAGGAAGATGAATTGCTATAGAAGCATGAAATTTGGTTATGGATATATCCAGAAAATAATTATAGCCAACGGACAAAAAAAGTAGATGAGAAATTAGACAGAACGGCTCAAAGAAAAAAATGCTAAGTTGGGGGAGGGAAGTATCCTTTCTGTGAACATTTATTTTCTTCCGGTAAAGGAAAAGGTGTTATTGTGAGAAAATATGAATTTAAGGCAATATGATATCATACAGATAGTAATAAATATATAGAAGAGCGCACAATGTAATAAAAAATAATAAGAGAATGAGGTAGGATGAGAAACAGGCAGAGCTGCAATAACGAAAGCTAATGAGGAGGAGAGATTATTCTTATTTTCAACAAATGCTTATAAGTTAAATGAGATTTCGATGGAAAAAAAGACGTTGACGGAAATGGAAAAAAGATAAAATAATGAATAGGAAAAGCTCTTGTTGTATGGGGGGGGGGGCAGAGGGGAAAGAGGTCGGTTGTATTGGAAGATTGCCTGTGGCAAAAGGCTTGTGTCCGTTGTACGTGTATGGCTTCAAAGGGGGGGGGGGAGGAGTAGATGGGGCAGAGCCAACATGCATACATGTGCCATGTATAGAGAGACGGCATAGAAGAAAAAAATAGAGAGAGGGAGAGCGAGATAGGCCGGCACATAGAGGAATCGAGGAGGTGAGAGATGGAGATGAAGCGAGAGAAGGAAAAGAGCAAGAGCGAAAGGAATCAATAAGCTTCGAAAGCAGGAGAGATATGGAGAGAAAAGATTGAGAGAAAGCTAAAATAGGCAACTGTGAAGGAAGGTCCAAGCATGGTGAGAGAGAATGGAGATTGAGCGTAAATGAGAGAGCTGAGAGTCAACCGAAGAAATTGAGATTTGATAGGGATTGAAGAAAATCCTTTTATACATATAAAAAGAGTAAGTGAGAGAAAGAGTAAAAAAAAAAACCTCTGGCCCATAGAAAGGTAGATGTTGTCCGTGCTTTTTCCTTACGTGAAAGCTTTTCTTATCAACGTTTGATCTTCGTATTGATGAAAAACATTTATTCCAATAACAACTTTTTCTGGAATTTTTTTCTTTTCAGCTCTCACCAGCAGCTGTGTGTTAGGAAAGACAGATCAGAGAGAAGATGAGAAAGAGAGAGAGAAAGAAGAAAAATATGTTCCCATTTAAGGAATCGAACGGTGACGAAAGACAATGTTGTTTCCAGCCATGATATTCAGTTAAGAATCTAACACTAATACTCGTGAGGATGATGGCGTAGACAAAAAAAGCGATTTGAATGGAAAAAAATTCGACGACCAACGACGTCGGGGTAAAGAAAAGCGTGTCCGCCAATGAATCCTATTTCTCTTTTTAGTTTTTTTTTCAGTGGAATGCTTGACTCTTAACCTCTATAAAACAGCAGTATATGAAGAATAGATCTGAACCAGTGGTTCTATAAAAATTCATAATTTTAATTTGTTTTATAGCAAACAGAATGGTGTACAAGGTTTCAACATCAATGGACGTGAAGGGCAGCTGCAAGTTCGTTCACATACTATACACAGTTTCACAAAAGCACTAATAGTATGATAACATAGTTATAAACATATCTAATATAAAGTCTATTCGGATAGTTCATTTTCATGTGAAATAACGAGCTGAAAGAGCTAGTTCTTTCTATTTTTCATTACTTTTTCTATGACAATCAAATGTTTTACGCAGGTTTTTGAGCTCATATCTACTACGAGACAAGTTTGAAAAGTTCAGAAAAAGGCCATAAATGGAAGAAAACGGAAAGAATAATTTACAATGACCACTAGAAGTGCCTTGTCTAACTTTAATTACTCTAATTCTACGTCTAAATGCTTATTCAGTTTCTCAAAGTAAGGGTATCTTCTTGGTTTTTGTTCTTTCTTTTTCTCTCTTCATATTACGTTTCATTCATAGACATTCATCAGTATAACTCGAGACAACTAGACTCAGTTTATCTAGAAGAAATCTCACATCATTCTGGCTTACGTGCATGATTATGAAGCCGACAACAAAGTCTTTCATACTTTTTATTTTTTTTCTTCTCTCTCATCATTGAAAACTTTCAACTAAAGTATATCTCCCACGCATTACCACGTACATGTTCACGTGCTACTTGAAACAGATTGTTTTCATTCTTTTTATTACGTTAGCAAATGAGCGGTAGCATTCGTCACTTTTCTCTGATCCGAGAAGACTTCACTAACAGCAAGTAATTATGCCAGTAATTGCGCCATCCATGCATCCAACCCCCGGTGTTTAGTATTCCAATGTTCGGTAGTTTAAGATTTATAATTACAAAAATTTAACACCAGATGTCTACGAATCAGTACTTATCAGAAGATATGATTGGCTGTGTAGTTATAGAATGTCCGTATGTCATAGGAGGGATGAGATTAGGCATAAGTCTGTAGTCACATGCCGGAATTTTACCGTGCTGGATCAATGAGATTACACTTTGAGGAGGGTATCGAAAAAGAAAACAAATCCATAACCATAGTTCGAATGAATGCGTACCGTAGTCCGAGCTCTATTGAGTCAACTGTGAGATTTCTTGGCATTTGAAACGATTTTTCTGAATCGCTTAGTTCTTCATTCGAATTACTTAGATTTGTTGTTGCCGGTGTTTCCCGAAAATGAGCTTAACATTTTTCGAAGTGAGTTTCAGTAATTTTACCCCACAACTTACCTAATTCACAAGCTGCATGTTGAGTAGAAGCATGAGAAACAATGAGTAATGGTGCTTTCCGCGGTAATAGTGATAGCTTCTCCACAGTTGTTCTTAACCTTTTTCGACTATCAAAACTTTTTTCATTTTTCAAGCTCTCAATTGAAACCAATGGAGAACTGCAAGAAATCACTACAAATATATCAATAGTTAGCAGTCTTACTATGTACTGTCTATAGGATACACTTTCTTCAAAGCGTCAATATGAAAGTTAACTTCCTTCATGTCTTCCTCTATCAGTCCTGGCTCAACCTTCAAAATCACATACCTAACCTTCTTGCGCTCTTAATATTCTCGAGTCTAACCTTTATACTGATACCGAAAAATTTTGCGATGACGGAAGCTGTTTGAACAGATCGCAGGGCAGGGGAAGAGTATACTGTTTCGGGGTTGACACCTCGATTGCACATTGCGCGAGCCACTGCTTCTACTTGTTTCTTTCCTAAGAACATGGCAAGATTGGACTAATATTTCAAAAAAAAATTCACCGAGCCAAGTTATCGGTGAATTGTTCTTAAGAACATCAGAACCAAACATTATGAAATTTCTATCAATATTCAGATCAGTTGGGGCGGGCTGAATGTAGTGTAAAACAAAAAATGTTTGATCTAAAAACTTTTCCATAGGGCTTCTCAGTTCGCTGCCAATCATTTCCAAAAACACGATCAACACGTTCAGCACTGCGAATAATCGTTATGATTCTCCATGTCAAGTTTCTTTCTGACGTAGCTTGAGGCCAGAATGAACCAAGTACAAGAAGCGGATCCTGAAAGTTTTTTATATGATTATGTAACCAGATGAAGTATCAATCAAAAAGTTGACGAACAATTTTATTTCTCTTATTTGCACTTCCATTCGTATTACTTTCCGAGATCTGCAATGTCATGTCTAACTATGTTTTCGAGACCAACCGGGTCAAAGTGAAACCGTCCACAAAATGAAAATAGCAGCTATGACCTTTATTATCGATTGATTGGGGTAAAAGCTGTTGAATTCAAGCGTCGCTGTATCGGTTTGTACAGTAATTACCATGCCCAACGCGGCGAGATTACGAAAGTTTGGCGCCAAATTGTTTATGAATATCATTATTTTGAGATTTGTACTGTTTTATTTTCGTATTCTCATGCGCTGCATAATAGAAGAGTACATAAACTTACGTTCTATTGATATGTTATGCTTTCAGGATAAAAACGTAATGGTTTCCAATCTTGCTCCCGGTCTAGAAAAGCCCGATCTTGACACTCATGATCCCGCTGTCTCTTTAATAAAAGATCAGACGTTTGCGAAATATGCGACTGAGTATTATTTCCTTCTATCAGTTCGACTACAATTGAGTGAAAATCCCTGTAACATGCCAATTGTTGAACATCTCAATTTACGAATGAGAATGATTTCCGAAGCTCGAAAGTATCCGGGAGCATTTCATTGGCTCAGACTCAAACGCCGTCCAAAAGCCTTCATATCTGAAGTCCGCAAAAAAAATCCCGAATTAGCTGTCTGGCTTGAGGGTGAAAAGTAAAATGTTATCTTCTATATATTCAACGAAGAAAACAAAGTAAGTCTCTATTGAAATTTATAATTATAGGCAATGTTTCAGACATCCTTTATGATGATCAACAGACTCATGTGATTCTTTGTAATTGTTTCTCCTCATGTTCACTTCACGATAGCTTTAAAATAAACTGTTAAGAATATTTGTTTTCTCGTTTATATATAAATTAACTGTCAATAATGATAATAATAATAAATTAACGATAACCCGCAATATCACGCTTAATACGTCTTTTATGATTCTGTGATGTTATTTCGAGGTTAGTCACTCGCTTTTTCATATCCGATGACAATTCCTGAAACGAAAGGATACATATTGAAGATGAAAGCATCACTGTACGTTGAATGATGTGCACATGTTATTCAATTGATCATCAATTTGCTCAATTTGAATTTTCAATCTAATTAATTGTTCGTCGACCGACAATATATTAAATGTTTCATCGATATCTCCGCCACTGTCCGTTAGTAAATCCTGAGATTCTAACCATTCAGAAGCTGCAATTCATTGATTCAAGCAAGCTTCATGAGCAAATGCTCTCATACCATTTCGTATGATTACATCACGTGCTGTTGGATAATCCTGAAGAACAGCAGCCACGTCGTCTTGATTCAAAATGTAAACATCTGAGTATCCTTCAGATCGTAATGAGCAATCTCGATATTCACCTTAACATTATAGATTGAATGAATTAATGTTGGTAAAGATAGAACCATATGAACATCCTTTCAGACGAATCATGGACATTTCTCCAAACGTTGCTCCATCTGTTAAAGTCTGAAATGAGCTCAGATGGTTTATAGTACTAGTTAAACAACACAAACGTCGATTGTATTTCTGGTAGAATCATCTATAACATTCAATATGCCTCTCTTAACTATATACATTTCCTTAATTATCTAATTTATATGATCTCCTGATTATTTAACGAACTTTGGCTTTTTCTCCCGTTCTGCATAGGTAATCGTTTGGATTATATATTTGTTGTTTGATTTTCATTACAATTTCATAGAGAAATCCGGCTTCACAATTCTGCAAAAAGATTTGAGAATATATTTTAAATGAAGCATACCCTAAACAAAGAAACTCCTCTTATCGTTTCCATATGCAAATTAACAGCTAACTGACCCTGTAACCTGGGCGGAAGTACTTCGAGTAATTCCTAAAATTCTTCGGTTATAAGTAAAAATGACAAAAGAGATTTGCTTACAGCTTCATCAGTCAACTGATTTCGCTGATTCATATACATAAAGCAGTTTAGAACTCGTTCTTGGATGTTCACATTAACAGCTCTGAAAAAAGTAAATTTGAGCTAACATTTTAGAAATGACAATGATCATTTGATGAACGACCGCTCAGACGTCAAAAAAAAACAAAAATGAGGTTGCACGTTAAACTGCACCTCAACTCGGTTGGCACATACACTCGTGAACCAAATAGTTTGGCACCCAATGCCATGAAGAAAAAAATTTGAGGAGTGCCAAACTATTATGGCCCTAGGCCATGAGAAAAAAAATTAGATTGGTGCCAAACTATTATGCCCACGAGTGTACAAAGACAGAAGACAGTCTTACCTGTATTTCATATAGAATTTGATGCCATCCATCTTCTGTCGGAAGTCATACACACTCTGATTCATTTCTGTAACCACACTACCGACACTACCAATAATTGTAGCAAACACTAAAACACCTTAACAACAAGAATTATATACAAATGTTGGTTAATGAAACAACTAACCAATCATTGTATCAGCAACTTCTAACATGTTTTGGCCAGAGTTTGATGGATACGGCTGAAATTTTTAACTATTCAACTTTAACAAATTGATGCTATTCTCTTCAAGCACGATCACTATGTATTCAAACCTGTTGTCCACATGTGGTGATGGTTAAAGCTGACCAGTACATAGTCATACTATATTCTCTAGAAAAATTACCCATAGTATATGTATATGACCTATAAACATCAAGGTACTTTGTTTTCAGCTGTTAATCATACCTGTCTTTCCAGTATTCATAGAGCTTTTCCTTATAAAGTGGTCGCTCGTCATCCAAATCTTCCGTCTTGGGAACTTCTACCATGAGGCATCCTAGTTCAGTGATCTGTTAAGTTAAGCATAGAACACAGACTGTTCTAACATGGTATAACACTCACATCACACGATGGTAACCGCGGATCGAAAACTTTATAGTAAGAAAAACCAAAAGCTGTAGTATCCTCTTCTACAAAATCAAAACTATAAATCTTTTAGCAACTGTGAGAGAACCTGACAGTCCTTCTGCTAAACTGAAGAGGAAGTAAACACAGGCATTCCAATGAAAAATGATGAAACAGGCAGAAATGAGGAA